GGCTCAGGAATTCTGGGAGTTGAAGTCCACGAGTCATGAGGGGGCCATAATTCCCCCATGCTGGCTCAGGAATTCTGGGAGTTGAAGTCCACGAGTCCTAAAAGAGCCAAGGTTGCCTACCCCTGGTCTAATCAGAAGTCCAATGTTGACAGGACACCTCTGTCTACAAAGACTGAACCATAATTCCCAAGAGCCCCAGCCAGCCGTGATCACTAGAGAAGGATTTGGGAGATGTAATTCAGCAATAGCTAGATAGCCAAGGAGTCTGGCTAACCACTCCTGCTGAGGGTACTTTGTAATTTCCTAGTGGTCTATTTTCTTTGTTCCTGTTTTTATTTTCTTCTCTAATAAAACAATACGGGACTATATTCCTTGTTAAACAATGCCAATTATGCATTTACTTTCTTGCAGGAAGTGCCGTCTCCAGCGTTGAAATTGTCTCCTTATTCCCAGGGCAGCGTGCGAAGGATTATCTTGGAGAATCCTGAGAAGGTAGCAAAGTTTTACTGTGGTTGTGCTGGACCAGTAGGTAGCCATCTGGTCAGAGTGTATAGCTAGCTTAGAAAATTATGTGTAGAGCAAGTAGCATTTTAAGGGTTAAAGTGCCACCCCCTTAAGGGCAGCCTTCTGGGAAATGTAGTTTAGTTGTTACATGGTTATATCCGTGTTCTAATTGGCCACTGGGAGGGTCTTGTGGTTTATTACCAGATATCCTGTTACGTGCCAGATTTTTATTATCTCTCTCCATGAATCCTAGCCACGAGGCTAGGAGCTCCGTAACAGCATGTAAGATTTACATAGAATGGGGAAATCCATTATTCTTTTACCTATGAGATGGGTCCAGATTACAACCTACATTTTGGAGGAACTTCTACAATAACTGTGTGGTCACTATGGCATCGAGGCATCGGATGTTGGAAGTAGATTTAAGTATTTGTGCCTGTATGTTAAAGTATCAATGGATCTATATGCATATACAAGTAGTTCTCGATTTACGAGCATTCGTTTACGACCATTACAGCGTCCCTATTGTCACGCAATCAAAATTCAGATGCTTCATATTTGTGACGGTTGTAATGTCCCATGGTCACGTGATCCCCTTTTGCGACATTTTAACGAGCAAAGTCAATGGGGGGAAGCCCGATTCACTTAACAGCCATGGGACTAAGTCAGCCTGCAGTGATTCACTTAACAACTGTGGCAAGGATGGTTGTAAAAGGGGCAAAACTCACTTAAGAACGGTCTCGTTTAGCCACAGAAATGTTAGACGCACTTCTGGTTGTAAGTCAAGAACTACCTGTATACTTTTTTTTCCCCACTGGCCTTTGGGCTCTAAATAAAACTGGGGGGTTCTTGGTGCTCTCTGAGCTTCATGTGTTGCTTGCAGATGTTTTATTATCCAGCTAGTAACATTATCGTTGCGTTGGTGTTGTTACGTAGTTGGGTAATAAAACATCTGCACGCAAGCAATCATCTTCAGGGAACAACATGGACTCCACAACTCAATCCTGAGCTACAGGTGTTTTCCTCTATTGTAATAAAGTTATTTGAGTAACTTGCACATAGAAATTTACAATTGCACACACACACACACACACACATCCACACATCTGGAAGAACAGCAGGATTATTTCAAACTCGTGCAACAAGTTGATTCAAAGACTTGATCTTCCCATTCATTGTTCTTGAGCCATGGCAGCTGAAAGCATTGTGGGTTTTCTAGAAAATCCTGAATCAGATCATTTCTCCCAAAATTGTTACAAGCAGGAGACCTTTGGAAGATCCCCTATGCCACTAGACTTAATTCTGGCTGGTCCTCATGTGTTGGGACTACGTTGCAGGCTCGTTGGTTTCTTCAACCCCAAAGCAGTGAGATCTAAACTTATGCTTGCCTGGAACCTGAGCCAGGGGGTTGGACTAGAAGACCTTCAAGGTCCCCTTCCAACTCTTTTAGTCTGTTATTTTGTTGTGGGCGGATCCTGGATACTAGTCTATTGAATCTTTATTGGATCCTTTCATAGGCTGAGATTTAGCCAGGAAGAATATAAAAGACGGGATCAAAAGTCCACAGCAAATGGGACATTTCCGTCTCTTTATTTATTTATTACTTTAATTTATACCCCGCCCTTCTCCCGAAGGACTCAGGGCGGCTTACAGGCAATAAAAACGGAACTATACAATAAATATCTAAAAACAATTAAAATATATATTAAATAAGCCTGTTATTTTTAGAAAAGTTATAAAATCCCTATTAAAATCCCTATACCTTTGTCTTCCATGTGGCCTTTAGATTCTTCTTTCCAAAGAAGCCTGGAGAGTAAACTGGAGACAAACAATTTAAACACTGGGGAGAGGGGAGTTTGAAGATGGATGGTTGGGGGGGGGGTTTAATCCTAACATTTACTTAACTACATTCTTGACCTGACCCTGGCTGGGTTTTTTTGGGGGGAATGTGGCTTTTAGGTTGAAGAAAAGTGATACCCCTTGCTCTTTATCTCCTTCTGACTGTTTATCCACCAGATCCCCTGGGAGGGTTGAAGTGTGTGGGGGTCCAGTAGGAACAGACAGTCCAGTGCTTGCCATTTTTTTCAGTCATCTGAGATTTAGCCCCTCCTTGTCTTGCCATTCTGGGCTTCAGCCAACCTCATTTTGTAAAGTCGGACGCTTTGCAGTCTGCGAGAGTCTGTGTATAAATAGGGGATTGTTTTGTTACTTACAGGAGCCTCTGTCTCCACTCCTGAGAGGAGGGAATAATGTGATCTATGAAAAGACAATAAGGAAATATGAGCTACTAAATCCAGATGAGGTAAGAGATTCTCCAGCCCCATCCCTCCCTCCCTCCCTCCCATCCATCCTCTCCTCCCTCCCTC